ATATTGATTTTCCTTCATCCGTACTCAATTATCCAATTATCTATGCATGCAAAAAGCTTGGAAAATGACAAAATGTCTACATATCAATGCTATGTAGGGTGGGGGTGAAGGATAAAGCCAAAGTTTAAAATAGGGCAAAACTTCTGTGAGGTTAAAGTGTGGTACAACTGGTACAAGATGTGTAAGTGACGAAGGAGGCTTATAGAGTTTGACTCAGTATTAGCTTCTCTAACTGTATATAATACCACACTTGAGTTGTACGGTTGAGGTGACAGAAATACTTCATTATTGTACATTTGCTCTTTGAAAATATACTGTAAATCTGTATGTGCATGTCTTTGATTGATTACATGTATGTGCTTGTGTGGTTGGTTACCCATGAATGGGAGTAGCGAGTCTGAACTGTCATGTAGAGTCACATTACGATGTCTGTGTGTTATTACGTGAGAGACACCCAGAAGGAATTTCAAGTATGCAGTGTAATAAAAGGGTGTGTGTGTGTGAGAGAGAGAGACAGTGGGTATACCTTACCTTATGTCCCCACAACATGATGGATACCCGTTTCCTGGCCCCCATAAGGGAAAACTCAGTTTAATAAAAATCTGTGACTGCAATGAAAAAAACTAAAAATGCGAAAACTCTTGTATTTAGTTTGGTTACTTATGGTTATGGTTATGGCTGAGTGGGGGTAGCTAGCTGTGAAAGCTTTCCTATGACTCGGGACTCGTCCATTTTTGCGGGAATGTCAACATTCATGTTGGGTCTGGAATGACCTGCGGACACAAGAACTGGGGGATGAGCGGGTACAGGAGGGAGGGGATGAGCGGGTACAGGAGGGAGGGGATGAGGGGTACAGGAGGTAGGGGATGAAGGGTACAGGAGGGAGGGGATGAGGGGCACAGGAGGGAGGGGATGAAGGGCACAGGAGGGAGGGGATGAAGGGCACAGGAGGGAGGGGATGAGGGGTACAGGAGGGAGGGGATGAGGGGGCATAGTAGGGGGGAATGAGAGGACACAGGACCTGAGGGACGGAGCGTGCACAGAAGCCGGGGGACAGAGCGGATACAGGAGCCAGGGGACAGAGCAGGAACAGGAGTCGGATTATGGAGCAGGTACAGGAGCCGGGGGATAAAGTGGGCACAGTAGTCAAGGGACGGAGTGGGTACAGGAGTCGGGGGACAGAGTGGGTACAGGAGTCGGGGGACAGAGCAGGTAGAGGAGTCAGGGGACAGAACGAGTACTGGAGTCCGGGGACAGAGCGGGCACAGGAGTCGGGGGACAGAGTGGGTACAGGAGTCAGGGGACAGAGTGGGTATAGGAGTTAGGGGACAGAGCGGGCACAGGAGTCGGGGGACAGAACGGGTACTGGAGTCAGGGGACAGAGCGGGTACATGAGTTAGGGGACAGAGCGGGCACAGGAGTCGGGGGACAGAGCGGGTACAGGAGTCAGGGGACAGAGCAGGTACAGGAGTCAGGGGACAGAACGGGTACTGGAGTCCGGGGACAGAGCGGGCACAGGAGTCGGGGGACAAAGTGGGTATAGGAGTTAGGGGACAGAGCGGGCACAGGAGTCAGGGAATGAGCCAGGACAGAAGCCAGGGGATGAGGGAGCACAGAAACCAGGGGATGAGGAGGCACAGGAGCCAGGGGATGAGGGGGAACAGGAGCCAGGGGATGAGGGGGCACAGGAGCCAGGGGATGAGGGGGCACAGAAGCCAGGGGATGAGGGAGCACAGGAGCCAGGGGATGAGGGGGCACAGGAGCCAGGGGATGAGGGGGCACAGAAGCCAGGGGATGAGGGAGCACAGGAGCCAGGGGATGAGGGGGCACAGGAGCCAGGGGATGAGGGGGCACAG